TGGAGAGAACCTGTGGCTCCCTGCAGGCCCCCACGTGTGACCTGCGTGGGTCAGCAGGCGGCAGGCGGCACCAGCTCGGCCCAGGGCAGCTGTCTTGGTCCCGCTTCTGCCCCCTGCCCCCTTGGGTGAGTCGCCACCCTTGTCTGGGCCTTACTTTCTTCACTCTAAAATGAGAAGTTGGCCTGCCTTTGGGAACTATGCACTCTGCAGAGAGGTGGGAAAGTAAAATTGTCCACGCGAAACACACACATGATCCACTGAGTCACCCCATGAACTGATAGACAAGCTGAACCCTGACTGGTGAACCTGGGTGCTGACTTCTCCAGGGGCTGGAAGCCAAATTCCTGGGGGCAGTTCCTTTTCAAATGCTGACTATCCTGAGCTTGCATGAGGCTTTTTAAAAAAATCACCTGTTCAATCAACATTCTTTTTTTTTTTTCCCACCAAAATTTTTAATATTTTCTAAATGCTCCGCAGCCCCAACAAAGCATGACAGGTATCAGACCATCAGCCCCTAGTTTCAAAACTGTCCACCACTCAAACAGTAGTTCTCGTCCCCCGTCTATAAAATGAGCGGCAGGTGTGCACCTGCATGTGTAAGGAAGTCTGCACTCACCTCAGAGCACGCTGGTCCTGGGCACTGGGCCCCCACGAGGGACCGCTGGAGGGCTCTCTGCCTCACAGCCACTTAGCAGCCGTGCCCAGGTGACCACAGGACCCCTGGCCTGGCCAAGCCTGTCACTGCCGCTGACTCCTCTTGTGTCTGTGCCAGCTAAGTTCTAGAAGGGGACTGATTATTCTGATGACATGAGAGATTGTGGTGGGTGGCTGGCTGGCTGCAGTTTTTGCAGGGCACCAGGAGAGTTAGGGCATCTATCGTAATGGTTGGGGGTGGGCGTGCGGCAGGTACCCTGTTGCGGACAAAGTCCATCGCTCCTCCGGAAGTTTCGTTGGGCTCAGAGAGCAGCTCAGCAAGCCTTCCTCCAAGCCCCTGGCCCTGTCACCTAGTGGGCACTGTTTGGTGTGAATAGACCGGAGGTAGTTTTAACATAGCAGCAACACAGCAGGTGGTCAGGAGCAGACGTCAAGTTCAAGTCAGCACAACTCACTTGCTTTAATGGAGCTTCACAGAACCCTTGCTTGGCAGGGTGATGCTCTCCAGGAACCTGACTTCCCACGGGACCACAGACCATCTGTCAAATACAAGAGTCTCTCTCTAGGGCCTACTCTGTGCCAAGGTCATTTTAGATACTGGAGATACAGGTGAACCAGCAGGCAAGCTCCTGTTCTTGTGAAGCTCACCTGGGTAGGTGGAGTTGGATGTCTGATTGGACATATAGTACAAATGACAGGAAATAGTTGTTTCTGGCCCATTGCATATATTCAATTCAGTGGACTGGACAAAGCATTTAATTAATGAAACATTTAGTGAGAGGCTACTATGGGTCAGCTGTCAATATGGGTCAAATTATAAAAGGTCTTCTGTATTAAATCAAGGAGGTTAGACTTCCCTTTAAAGCCATGGACAAGGGTGTCATTTATAACGCTGGGAACGGGTGGAAGGCTTCCTGGAGGAGGAGATGTTTAAACAGGGCTTCTCCTTTCAACTCATCTCTTAGATCTGCGGTTCCTATATTCCTGGGCTGGAGGTTGAGTTACACTCTAAGAGAGGGGCAGGAGAACTGAACTTAGGACTTGTGTAGAAAATCTGGTCTGTGATTCTTTCAAACCTGACAGTACTTAATCAATGGCTGGCACATGATAGGAACTTGGGAAAGCAACATGCTGTGGTGCACTGGGTAGGAACTTTGCTTGCCGATAAGTTGGCTGCAGGTTCAAGTTCTTTCAGTTAGCAGCTGTAAGGCCTTGGGGAAGCAATGCAAGCTCGGCATCCATGCCTTACAGAGCTGCATGAGGGCAGGTGGGACCTTTCCTGTGTGACCATCAATCCTGGCTTTTGGCACATAGTAGGTCCATAGTGCCCAAATATCCATTTCCTTTATTCCATTTTCCTCCCCTTTCTTCCTGCCTTTCCCCCCTTCCCTTCCCCTTCCCTCCATGGTTGTTCAGTAGAAAAATTATTGATGCTAACAGCAGTGGAAAGACGTTTAAGCTATGACTCCCAGAAGGCTCCCGACCTGGCAGGGCTTTGTTACTGGCTGAGAGGCGAGGGGATGACATCACAACAGGCAGCCCCAGGGTGGCGGAGTGACTCAGGGTCAGGTGTGGCACCTGGGAGGGCACTGCGATGCAGGTGGGGGACTGGAGGGTGTCTTGACGCTGTCAGGAGGAGGAGGGTGTCCAGAGAGAGGAGCCAGCAGGAGCAGACACGGGAGTGCGGGATGCCAGGGTGGACAGGGCTGCATGTTGTAAGACAGGTTCCCAGCAGACAGTGACCCAGACGGTGGTGCAGTGGGTTAGTGCTGGGTTGTGGGGGGCTTTGACCCCCTACTGCCGGTGCCTGGGCCTCCATGCCACAGGCATCAGGGAGTCTCACCTGGGGCCGTGGGACACCGGGATCTTTTCTCCAGTCACTGGTGCAGAGTGGTTTGGAGCAGAAAGGAAACTTGTGGTACCACTCAGGGTGGATTATGCTGCACAAACAAATAACCCCCAAATCTCAGGGGCTTAACAAGCAAATAGAGAAGCCTGATGCAGATAAAAGCTCCTGTCCAGGGCTCAGGGTGGCCGTGATCCAGGCTGCTCCAGCCCAAGGACACCCCCTCTGAGGCCGTGCTCCCCTGGCCAGGGCAGCAGGTGGAGGCCCGGCCTCTAAATGCCTAACCTGAGTGATGGCCGGTTCCCACTGGGCCGCGTTCCCCAAACCCTTCGTTTGCTTGTCGGAACCCTCGGGCCAGCGGGGAGGTGGCTCGGGGCCAGGACATGGTGGGCAGGCGCCTCGCGCCAGCAGTCGCTGCCCATTGGCCAGCCCGGAGGGGGTGGGACCCCTGCCCCTGGGGGCCCCCCTGGCTCTGCCCTGCTGTTCCCCCAGTCTGAGGGGGTGGACTCCAGGGACGCGTCCTTAGCATCTGGGTGGGTGGTGTCGCAGAGGGGCAGGCTGGCCTGTGGCTCAGTGGGAGGAGAGAAGGCGACAGGGACGGGGAGGAGGAGAGGTGAGGACGAACAGGAGCTGCGAACCAGGGACAGCGCCAGGAGCACCGTCCCCTCCCCCCCACCAGCGGCCGTGCCGGGCACTGCCCAGGCTGCTGCTTCCGCCTGCGGCCTCACCTTGCCTCCGGCCAGTCGTGGGCAGGGCCGAGGGCTGGCTCCCGGCGCCCTCGCTCGCCCAGAGCGGCCCTGCTTGCGGCCCCGCCGGCGTTGGCACGGTGACAGTACCCGAGTGTGCAAACTTGTGCCATTGTCCCCGGGCCGGGGGGAGCCATGGAGACTGGCTAATATGACACAGGAAAATGTTTGCTGATGGCAATTCTATGGGCTTTGTCCACCTCTTTCTCCATCATGACGACTCGATTTAAGTCCCTAACTGTTTGACTACAAATGTGAGGGGACCGTGCAACGCCAGCCTTTTGTCCGGCCGCGCTGAATGGGCAATTCAGGCTTTGTGCGGCTCAATTGACGAAGCAAACATAAAGACAAGATTCCTGAGAGCTCCGGCAACCTTCCCATGGATATCCCAGCACCTCGTTGAGAGTCCTCCCTCGGCCACCTTTCCTCTCCAGCAGCACTGATGTGCCGGCCGCCCTCACCGGCCTCTGAGTGCTGGGGGGGAGAAGCGAGGGAGGAGAGAGCCCACGCAGCGCTCAAGGGCGGCGGGAAAGCAGCCCGCCCCGGCTTACCCTGTCCGATTGTCTGTCTGCACTGGAGCATGGAGCTGGAGGCTTTGGGAGGTTTGCAAGCCCATCTCGTCTGGGCCCAGCCCCTCCTCAGTCCCGGACTTTTTAAACACATGCGCACACGCACACACACACACACACACACACACACGCACGCACGCACACGGCCCCCTCAAGAAACCAGGGAACCGAGGTCAAGGGGAGGAGGGGCCTGGGGGCGGGGGGGAGTAGCGCTGAAGGGTAGAAATTTACCGGGAAATGATTGCATTTGGGAGCTGTCTTTTTTGTGATGGTCCCCATGGTGACAATTTGTGACGGCAAAGAATGTGGGAACGGGGCGCTGCCGCCCGATTGGGATGCTTTGTATCTGGAGAGGCGCTCCTGATTGGCCTGAGGGCCCCCCAGCTCCAGGGACTGGTCCTCCATTCAGCCCACTCGAGGGCTGCACCAGCCTGACGGACGGAGCTCGCCGGCTGCGCTGGGCCCGGCCCAGGTCTGCGGCGGGAACCTGCCGGGCCACGTTGGCGGGGGCCCGGGGCCTGCACCCTTGGTCAGTGTGGAGCTGGGCAGCGGCGGCTGGACTGGGTGGGGGCGGGCTGGGGCGTGTGGGAGGGGCAAGGTCCGGCGGGTGGTAGCCGAGCAGGCATGAAATTGCTGCAGATGCTTCTACAGGGGAGTCCCCACTGCCTGCCGCCTGCCATCAGCCCGCCAGGCAGGCCGGGCTGGAGTGCCAGACAGGGGTCCTCCTGTCCTGCCTGGGGGTGGAGCATGGGGCCCGAAGAGGGGTGGGGGCTGATGCCAACAGGGCTGGAGCGAGGGTGGGAGGAGGAGGGGACCGCCAGGGAGACGGGGCCTTGGCCTGGCTTTAAAGCAGAGCTGTTCCTGCAGCTGAGAAAGTAGCTGGCAAGTTGCACCGGCTGGCAGCACGGACCGGGGGAGACTTGCGCCCCGGCATCAGCGATGCCACTTGTAACTGAGTCACCTAGAACAAGTGGCCTGACCTCTCTGAGCCCAGCTGCCAGTGGGGCACAGCAGGCCAGTGGAGAGGAAACGAGGGGCTGTGCGCACCTGCCCCCCCAGAATGTGCCCAGCGGCCCGAGTGGGCGTCCTATGACCCAGGGCTCGGCAGGGCCGAGGGGTGGGGCTTGGGGTGCTGGGTCCTGGCTGCCCGGAGAGGCTCCAATGCCCCGCTGTGGCCTCCAGGTCAGCTCTGTGCCCGTCCCTGGAGCCGCCTGCCACCAGCCAAACCGCCCTCTTCATGGAAAGCCCCGAGCAGCGGCCCCCTGGTGATGGCATCCGACAGTGACGTGAAGATGCTGCTCAACTTCGTGAACCTGGCGTCCAGCGACATCAAGGCGGCCCTGGACAAGTCGGCGCCGTGCCGCCGCTCCGTGGACCACCGCAAGTACCTGCAGAAGCAGCTCAAACGCTTCTCCCAGAAGTACTCCCGGCTCCCTCGGGGCCTCCCCGGCAGGGGCGCCGAGCCTCACCTGAAGAGGGGCCCTGAGGACCAGCCCGGGAGGCTGCCTCTCCACTCTGGCCCCGATGCCAGCCCCGGCGGGGGTGGGGGCTTCCAGGAGAAGGCTCTGGGGAACCCCTACGGGGAGGAATGTCTCGCTAAGGAGCAGGCCCTGCAGGGGCAGAATCCAGAAGCTGCCAGGCCTGGCCAGGTGCCCATGAGGAAAAGACAGCTGCCCGCTTCCTTCTGGGAGGAGCCGCGGCCCACACACAGCTACCCCGTGGGGCTGGAGGGGGCCCTGGGCCCTAGGGAGGGACCTCCCTGCGAGGGCAAGAGACGCTGCCAGCGCGTGGAGCCCGCGGGCCCTGAGACGGCCCCGGTGCCGCTCAAGATGCCGGGGGTCTCCCTGGCGGGCCGAGTCAACGCCTGGAGCTGCTGCCCCTTCCAGTACCACGGACAGCCCGTCTACCCAGGCCCTCCGGGGGCCCTGCCGCAGAGCCCGGTCCCCAGCCTGGGCCTGTGGAGGAAAAGCCCGGCGTCCCCCGCGGAGCTGGCCCCCTTCTGCAAGGATGTGGACGGCCTGGTGCAGAAAGTGTACAGACCCGTGGTCCTGAAGCCCATCCCCACCAAGCCCGCAGTGCCCCCGCCCATCTTCAACGTCTTCGGCTACCTCTAGCCGGGCCGGGAGGGCCTCGGCACCCACCTCTGGCCCACGGGCGGTGCCGAGGGCCCCGACGCACTCCTGGTGAGGAGTGGGCGAGGCAGCGGTGTGGCCTCTTACAAAGCTTCCTTGGCATGGACGGGCAGGCAGGGCAGGGTCGGGGCTTCCCAGGCAGTCCCGAGTGTGCCCCTGCAGCCCGGGAGCTGCCGGCCCCCCGCCACCTCAAGCCCAGCAGAGCACCCTGCCGGCCCCGCGCTGACCTCAGGTGACGGGGCCTCGCCCCCGAGCCGCGCGCACATCCATCTGCCACCCACCCACCCACCCACCGTGTTTGCCAACCTCAGTTGCTGTTCTTTCTTGTTCTCTGTAAATATTAAGGAGTTAAAAGAATAAAGATTTCTTTTGCAGTTTCCACATCTCGGGTGTCCTGAGGTTGCCTGGGCAAAGCCTAGTGAGATCCTGGCAGTACCGGCTGAGGATGCCCATGGAGGCCAGGAGTGGCCCAAGGGCCCTGTGTGGTCGGGGGTGGGGGGCCAGTGGAGGCGGAGCTCAGCTTGTAAGGGGGAGGGCGGGGGCATGCTCCTTGCCCCACTGCGGGACAGGGGTGGGTGGGGAACGGCCCCCCAACCCCTGCCGAGGTAACTTCCACTCCAGTTGAAGCCTCAGAGCAGAAGTCAAGGTCATGCCTGCGGCCCCAGTCAGCGAGAAAATCCCGCAAAGGGGAGCTGGGCCCCAGCGGACAAGATAAGGGGTGGTTTGAGCAGATGGCCTGTCTTTGAAGCAATCTTTGGTTCTCTGCCCATCACCAAGAAAAAGAAAAAGGGGAGACCTGGCTGCTCGCCAGCTCAGGGGCGTGGATTCCTGGGTGGCCTGCTGAGGGGGCTCCCCAGGCCTGGCGGAGCCTGCGCACCCTGGCACCCCTAAGTGCAGGACGCGGGCTCTGCTGTGGTGACGCACAGGGCGCTGGCAGCGGGCGGCCCTGCGGCCTGCCCTCGTGGTGCCCAGCAGCGAAGCCCCTGGAGGGGCCTCCACCGGCCAGTGGCCCCCGGCGCATGGTGGCCCCCAGGCCAGAACGCGGGCCAGGGGTGCTGGCACCCTTCTCGGAAGCGCAGCTGTCCCACGCCGGGGGCTGGGGCGCCTTGGGGAGCAGCCTGATGTCATGAGTTCACCTCCCTCTGAGCCTCAGTCTCCCGCTCCGTAAAGCAGTGGGCTTGATCAAGGGGAGCAAAGAGAGGCACCCCTTCTCGAGCTGCCGGCAGCGGCACCCCGTGGTCCTGGACCCTGGCCCTCGGCGCTTGGGTGCCAGAACCCTCTTGACAGGAGGCTCCTGCATTAGTGCTTGCAACGGGCCCTCCCTGCCCTGCCTGTCTTGCTCCAGGTTGCCCTAGAGCGGCTTCCCCACGGAGGGGCAGCTCACCCCGGCCTCGGAGGCCACGGGACCGGCGAGCAGCCGTGAGCATCCGGCACACGGGACGGGCAGGGAGCCCTCTGCCGGCAGCCCCATCTCAGGCTGCTCTCCTGCACCCCATCACTCTGGGGTGATCCTTTGCATGGATCACTCTGATGGGGTGCAGCCCCTCCACGCAGGGTATTAAAGCTCAGCCACCTGCCTACCAGCTGTGTGACCCTGCACGGGTTACTGAACCTTTCTGTGCCAGGGAGGGCACTTGGGGGCGAGGCAGGGGCGATGGCTGTGGGCACGCACCAGTAAGCTCAGAGCCCCAGGTGCAGACACTGAGGCCCAGGCTCCCACGCCCGCCGCAGGCGGCTGTGCCCTGGGAATGGCGGGCGGGCCGCCCTCCTTCCCCACGCCTCCCACCTTCCTCTCAGCCTCTTCTCTGCCAGTGGGGCCCTTCTCTCCGGCCGGTCTCCCCACCCTGCCTGGCACCCGTGGGCCCTGCCTGCCAGGCTTGCTCAAGGATGTGGGTGCCCTAGAGTTAGAGTCGGGCTGGCGCCCAGCCCCCGCCACACCACTCCCTTCTGCCTTGTCCCTCTGTGGACAGCGGCCCCAAGGGGAGACGTGGGTCCTCTCTAGCTGTCGGCCGGCGAAGGTGCTTCTCAGCCAAGGTTTCCCAGTGAGCTCGCTGTGGCCACTTCTCGGGGCCCTCGGGTTGAACACCCCTGGGCACTGGACTCCAGGGAAACTCCTTCCCCTCTCTGGACCTGTCTTCCCGTCCGTAAGCATGACAGGGCTTTGTTCCCTCTGACCCCTGGCAGGGAAGTGCCTCCTGGCAGTCTTCCTCCTCCAGCTGACACAGGCCTCCCGAGTTGGGGAAAAACCCACACGCCCGCCATTTCCCACTGCGCCAAAGAGGCACCTGGGCCAGGGCCTGGAGCTGATGCAGAGCAGGGCCTGAGCCGGGCTGTGCCCACTGCCCGGGCGCGCTGCGGTGTGCCCCCACTAGGCTCTGAGAGGCAGAGGCCGAGATGTGGGCTTCAGGGAGCGGTGTTCTCTGGTGTCGCCACACAGTGGCCCGGTGGCTTTAGCCACGCGCGGCCACAAGGCTGTGCAGTCAGTGTAACTTCCACGGAACGTGGAAGCAGGAGAATGCTAGACTCTGCCAGGACCTCAGTGTTCTCCGCTGCTCCCTAAAAATGGAGCCGCAGAGGCCAGGCGGAGGCAAGGCAGGGTCAGGGCTCACGCACGCGCCCCCTCGGGTGCCTCTGGGTGGGCGACGTCACACCGGCACCTTCCGTCACCGCACTCGGGACAGCCAGTGCTCGGTACGGCTTCCTCGTGCTTCCCTGCAAGTGGCCGTTTCCGAGAACCTCCGCTATTTCCATGGGTCCCTTCCCCCCGAGAAGCTCAGCTTTTGTAGCAAAATTAGGGTGAGCAGCACATGAGTGCCAGGGTACAGAGGTCAGGAAAATTAGGGTGAGCAGGTACATGAGTGCCACGGTACAGAGGTCAGGAAGTCCACGGACCCTGTCTGTGGTGAAGGTCCTGTTCCCAAGGCGGCTGACCGAAACAAAGCCCTACCTGCAACCCAGCTCTGACCACAGGGCACACACCTGCCCCTCCCGGGCCACCGGCCTTCTGGTGAATGGACGCACCCTCTTAGGCTTTGGGAACCCTAACCCATTTGCCCCGCCCCCAGGCCAACGTCGCTCCTCCAGGAGCAGGGCTGAGGACCCCAGGTGCAGGGGAGGGGGGTGGGGAGAGGAGGGAGGCTGGGAGAGGCAGGTATATACCAGTGGGTGCATTTATTGTGCCTAAGGAAGCCCTCGGGCCCAAGGTCCCCTGCCCCACAGGGCTTGTCAAGGGGAGTCTCACGGAGCAAAGGTGGGGGGTGGGCACCGGGAAGCTCGGCCTGTCAGGAAAGGCAGACCCGTGGCTGAAAGTCCTGCAGCTACAGCCAGACCACCCCAAATTCTGCACTGCCCCCCTTCCTCAGTCCCAGTCCCAGTGGCAGAGAAGTTCGGGGATCCTCATGGTTTTTCTCCTACTGGAGACATTCTGCTCTCTCGGGGCAAAGCTCTGGCCGGAACCCGCCAGGCCACGGCGGGCGGGGCCGGGCGCAGAGACAGCCAGCCCCCGGCTTGTCTGCCAGCAGCTCCCCTTAGCTCTGGGACACCGCCGGCCCGGCCCGGGACGCTGTGACAATCGAGTCGTCGCCCTCGCCGGCGGCCGGGTTACTGGGCGCTCTCATATTTCAGGTATCGGATCAGCCTGCCTGGGAGCGGCAGCGTGTCCAGCAGCTTTATGCGGTGTTTGCCCACGGCCTTCCGGACTTGCAGCCGGCAGAGGTGGGCCAGAGGCCGGGGGGGCTCTGAGGAAAGGAGCAAAGGAGACACGCTCAGTCGTCACGTGCCACTTTGGGCAAGGGTTTGCGTCCATGACCCCTGCCCACGTGGCGGGGTAAGGGTGGTAAGGGGGTGCTTGAACTCCCCAAGCTCGGCAACCCCGGACCCTGCCGACTGAAAAGATGGGCAAAGCACCTTCCTTGTGTCACCCCTCACTGACCTGCACGCCCCACAGAGGTCGACAAGGCAGATGCCGACCTGTTTCACAGGTGAAGACTTAGTCACGCGGGGCACCTCCCTGGCCTCATGCGCCTTCCTGACGAGGCCGGACCCCAGCTCGGCCTGAGCCAAGGGGTCAGAGTCTGACCTTGAAAGTGTCCCCCAGGCAGGAATTCAACTCTGGCTGGGAGTGCGGTGGTGAGAACAGCCAGAGGGGCGGGGGGGGGGGACAGGGACCGGGCAGCTCCAGGCAGGTCCCAGAAACCTCTCCCAGAGGCCCCCCAGGAGGCCTCCCCCCAGGAGGCCTCCCCCCAGGGAGGCCGGAGGGGTTTAGGAAGAGAGACAAGGGAGGCAGGTGCCCCGGGGGCGAGGGGCAGGCAGGCGGCAGGCAGGCGGCAGGCGGAGCAGCACTGCCTATGCACACTCGGGGCGCGCCTTTCTCCTGGGACAGGCCTAGTCCAGGCGACGTTCAGACCACCCTTTTCTAGGCAGGCAGGACGAGGGCCTTGAAGGGTGGCTCCAGCCTCCAAGCAGGGCCGCTCCAGCCTCCAAGCAGGGCCGCTCCACCCTCTAGTGGCCAAGGATCAGGGAGACAGTCACCACTTACTCATGAGTCAGTGAATGTTTACTGAGCACCTGGAGCCGTGCCCGAGAGAGCCGAGCCCCGAGTGTGTGGCAACTCAATGCCAACCTCCCTGTCGCAGGCCCAGAGGCTTCCTCAAGGACCTGAACGCCAGTGCTCCCCAGGCTATCGGGAAAGTGACAAATCCTACGCTCAGTTTGGGTTCAAACGGGCACGGGGTCGAGGCGGAGCATGGCAAGTTGTCAGGGCACCGCTCCCGGGCTCCTGGGCCCTGGACAGGCCGCAGGCCAGCAGTGGGGCCAGCAGCAGCAGCAAGATGATAATGTGTGCAGGTCGGTCTCTGCGCAACGTGACTGACACCCACTGGCCCTAGCCGGGACTGTGCCCGGGACCCCTCTTAGCAGGAGAGGGCTGGCGGGGAGGGGGGAGCTGCACCCCTCCGGGCAGGTGCCCGAAGCTCAGCATCACCTGCAGCACCGGGTGACTGTGCTCACGCCTCACCTGCCCAGGTGCGCTCCATGGTGCCTAAGAGGGACGCCCCTCTCCCTCTGCCCACTGCCCCATGGCACAAAGCGCTTCCGGTGCCTGGCACGCCCACCTGCAGACCCCATGGGCTGGCAGCGCTGGCAGTGGCTGGACACGGGCAGTCACTAGCGTGCTCTCCTCAGAGGCGGTGATGAGGCTCAGTGGGGTGCCCTGCCCCCTTTGCTCAGCAAGGCCCTCGGGGGGCCAGGGCGCGGCCTGTGGACCACCCGGAGCTTGCTGACATACTGGCTTCTGGCCCCACCCCAGGTGTGTTCCCCAAACCCGAGTTTTTGACAAGATGCCCGTGGGGTTCGTATGCCCCCCACCAGGTGAGACCCCCAAGCTCTCCCCTCCCCTACATGCTGCTGCACAGTGGCCCACAAACATGGGGAGCTTGCTCCAAAGTCCCCAGCTCCTTCAGGGAGTTGGCGCTCTATATAGCGCCCTGGAGAGATTTCTGGGACGGATTCTGGGGCTGGTCAAGCCTAGGCCTGAACCCCAAATCTGCCACTAACTCTGTGGTGCAGGAGATGCGGGCTCTCCGAGGGTCAGAGCCCGGCACGGCAGCGCCCAGGCAGGCTAGTGCCAGGCCGGCCGGGCAGTGGCCGCCAGCGGCAGCAGCAGCCGCCCCTACCTGCCTTCTCCTTGATGACAGCCCAGTCCTCGAAGCTGTCGATGTGCTCCTTCAGCCGGGAGCAGAGCTGCACGTTGCCCACGTAGTCCAGCAGCACATCGATGATGGGCCCTGCCCAGCGGCTCACCTCGGGGGCGGACAGGATCTCGCAGAACTGAAAGACACGCCCGCGCTGAGTGCCCGGGACCCAGGGCCCCGCCAGTCTGCAGGTGGGACCCTGCTGGCGAGGGTCGGCGACATGCCCAGCGCCGCCACAGCCCTGGCTCGGCCGCTGCAGCCTTGGCAGCCACAGGGGGTGGCGGGCACCTTGGGCAAGTCCATCTCCTCTCTGAGCCTCAGCGCCCCGTCCAGCAAATGGGTGCAGGACAAGGCCACAGGAGCAGACGCCTCTGCACACGGCAGGTGGCTCTCGATGGCCACCGGCCATTACAGTTCTCCCCAAGAGAAGGGGGTTTCTAACCTCATGGAAAGTTCACATGTTTTAGATCACCACGTGGGCAGGTTCCCCTGCAGCTCTCCACCTCCCGCGGCTCACCTGACCTCACCTGAACGTATGCCAGCTGCTCTCACCTCCACCGTACCCTGGTCACTCAACACCGCAGTACTGGTGGAGGTCTGGGGGCCGGGGTGAGGAAGGAACCCACAGGGTGCTGTGTTTCCTTGCCGCCCTTGCCCTTTCCAGCCCCCGAAGACAGCAGTTCCCCCCCAAATTCGATTATTCCTACGAACCCCTACGTTCTGCTGGGTTACACAGAGCACCTTCACCACCAGGTCACACAGCCCCAGAGTGGCCCGGAGTGCGCGAACCGTGGGTCCACACCGCCTCCAAAGCGGGCGACAGCCCGCACTGCTTCCGGCGAGGAAACACTACTCTCTGGGCCTGGAAAGAACCAACCACGGGTCCTCGGGGGCTGGGAAGCAGGCCCCACCCCGCGCGCTACCTGGACGGCGCAGGGCGCCTTGTCTTCGGTGGGGACGGGCACCCGCGAGTCGTTGAACCTGTTGGCGCGCGGCTGGGCGGGCGGGTGCGGGCCGTTGCCGTAGAGGCAGGAGAAGCAGGGCTCGCCGTCGCAGCCGAGGTCCATGAGGAACTTGAGCAGCGACAGGCACTTCATGGCGAACATGATGGTGGCGGGGAAGGCGGTGGGGTGCGTGGCGACGTAGGCGTCGATGTTGGCGCCGTGGTCCAGCAGCAGCTGCATGGTGCGCAGGCAGCCGTGGCGGATGGCCACGAGCAGGGGGCTGATGACGTCGCGGTTGGGGTCGGCGCCGGCCAGCAGCAGCAGCTCGGTGGCGTGCACGTTGTTGTTGACCACCGCGAAGTAGAGCGCCGAGCTGCGCCGGTCCTCGTAGAGGCGCGCGCGCTCGGGCGCCAGCGGCGCGTTCACGTCGAAGCGCGCGCCCAGCAGCGCCTCGAGCACGCCGTCGTGGTTGCGCTCGGCCGCCAGGTGCAGCGGGCTGATGCCGCTACGGCGCACGCGCGTGCGGCT